ATATTTGCAGGGGGGGACAGGAAGCCAAGTTAGACACTATTCCTATAGGCACTCTCACTTCCGGGCTCCATTATGTTGGCCTTCAAGACGGGCAGATCATTTTGTGTATTTTCTCTCAGTTTGTGTCTATACAAGTATTATCCCTCCGATAACTTCACACTTCAATTCCAAGTCTACAGGAACGTCATTATGCTCTATCAATGGCTATAGGGAGGGAATTGCAGAAACAGGTGTGCGCGCTGTTCCTCACTCATTACCCGAGGGCGGATGTATTCGACGAGCAACGGCCTACGGCTGCCGGACTTATCCCCGCTTCTTCAGATGTTGGCTGTTCGCAGAGATGTGAAGGAGGAGCGGTGGGGTATCGACATTTAGGAACAAAAGGCCAATGACTAAAAAGATGGGGGGCGATCAAATGTTGCAGTGGGGGTGATATTGGCGTCTATATTTAGATTTGAGAATACTATCAGCAACTATCGTCTCCGACCCTGGAAACGGTATTCGTAATTCTATTCACCCTGAAAATATGTTTTCCATTAGGGGAAGCAATTTTGTACTCATGGAAGAGAAAATATCGCCTCATCCCCAGGACCCACATCTGAGTTCACAGCTTGAGGGAGAAAAGTTCGCTTCAGTTTCAGTTACCGGGAGCAATCCTAGTCCCCGTAGGAGTGCATGCTACGGGAGGGGGGAAGAAAAAAAAGCATCAAAAATTGTTAATACGAACTTGAAACTTTGTCTCTGCTACCAAAAGAAGTCGAGTGGGATATCCCGGAGCCAGATCCCCTAGAGTTTGTTATTCCCAGTATGGCCATTTCCTCCCCACCATCATAGTAAAATCCCAGCCTAAAAAGAGTAGACGGTATGATAGGTTAGCTTTTGTAAAAGCCCATCAATGCTAGAGCCCTAAATTGCAATCAAGACCGGAAGATGAGTGCAGCCAGTATATGAAATTGATTGCAGCGAATGGCAGGAACTTTTGATGGAATACGCAAACTTGCTTCCCGTTTACCCCAGCCCGATAGCTACTTCCGTCGTTCTCTGCCCGTCAGACCTGGCCACTTAGGGGAGAGTGGGCTGGGGGCTGGGTTCACCATGTGCGGTGCACAGCAAGGCGCATAACGGGGCGCGGTGCGGTGTAGTGTAATGTATTAAATTTTCCAGGAAATCGCGAACCGGGCGATCGATGAATAACATGTGTTGTGTGGTCAAGTGAAGATTTAGCAAGAGAGAAGGATTTGATACATATAGCTACGTTCCCTTGTCGCGGTCTTTCTCATTTCTAAGCGAAGTGCCTTGACCCTCGCTCCGACCACTCTCCCCGAAAAAGCATTGCACAGACCTTCCAAGGTAGAAGCAGTTCTCACACCATCGTCCAATGGCTGAGATATACTGTACCAGGGCGAGTTTAGCCCCGAGTTCGAGTACTGGGTAAGGATGAAAAATCGGGAAAAAAAAAAGATAGGCAAGATGCTATAGGGCAGTGAGCAGATAGCGAGTAGAAATAAAAAATAATGAGCTCTGGTGGATACAAAAAAATCCGGGGGAGAAAAAACAATGTCTACCGCCGGGATACGGGAAGCTAGTGGAGGCGGTTGAAATTTGGCCTTGGTATCACACGAACTGGCTTTGTGACTCGCCTCGAGCGCCCGCCCGGAGGCCCTTCGGACTTCGGAATCACTAAAATTCGGGCTTCCGAGAAAGTAGGTTTGGCTGCAACTATTGCAGTCTAGGTTTCTAATTTATGCAATGGTGTGCTTCTTTCTACAACCTTAATCTATCGATCGGCATAATCCCTAAATATTCCGATTTTGTTGTTTCTATCCATGGGGACTTGTTCTGTGCCTTAGAGCTGACAGGATCTAAATTTACTGCAGGGCAGAGGTGGGGGTTATTCTACGCCTCCATGCCTAGAGTTTTCATGCCAAGCCAACCCACCTCGCTCAAAGAACCCTCTACCCATCCAGGGAGAATTCCGTGAGGACCCTGTAACAGCCTTCACAAGAGGATCAGACGGAATTCCTTATCCATACCAATATGGGGCGATATTATGGGCAGTTAGTTCCATCATATAGTGCAAATCGAATCAAACCGGGACCTCAAAACTAGGCAAACACGATGTGGAATTAGTTACCGGCAACACCGAATTTGAAGGAAAAAAACCACAGGGAGATAGACAATGCTGGGCAGAAGAAGCTGGTAGTTTTTATTTTTGAATGAAAAAATTCTATGAGATGTAATTCCAGCTCAAAGTGCTGAATTTTTGGTGAGAATGAAACAAGTGATAGAATCTACCTACTGACAGACTGAAAAATACTGTAGAGTATAGATGACTGAGACATAGAAATAATCAGTGATTAGTGTGACAGGCATAAAAAATTCTAATTCTGGTTAATCCTCTATTCTACACATTTCCCTTAACATGTTATTTCATCTTAATCATCATGTCTTGGCAATTATTGGCCCAAACCCGATCGGTTACAACGGAATTGCCGTTTCACCGGAGCACCCGCCTTTAGGCACTTTGCACCATACCTTCTCCGTATTCACCTACCGGTACACAGGTGCCGGTATGATGCAAAGCGTAACAAATGTAGACCAAGGCCGTTGTATCATATCCTGTAACGCCTCTAAATTATCAGGGCAGAGGGTTACAAATTCCAAAATAGATTTTAGAAGTTTTAAGTTTAATTCATAGTGCTAAGATTTTCTAAGATTTTCTCCAGCATGATAGTGGTGTTAGTCAAGCAAAAATTTGTATCTAGAATTAAAAGATGATGATGACATGATATCATTTTTTACATATAATACAAGGATACAGATTCCATATGCAAAATCGAAGGATTAAATTTGAAACCAGGAAAAGAAAAGTCATCTAGAACAACGGATCGAACCTCTACACTACAGATAAAATTTTATGTTTACAAACCCTCTACTCTAATAACTTGGAGGCATTACAACTTACAGGATGCAACGGCCTTGGTCTACATTTGTTACGCTTTGCATCATACTATACACCCCAGACATGGCATTTGCCTTGTCGCCTAGGGTGGGGTCCACTGCTAGGCTGCCACAAGGAATGCAGAGCTGCATCATCACGCGGGCGAAACTGGCATCCCAGTAGAAATTACTGCACCTGTGCCTGTTGGATCACTTGCACCAACTGATTAGGAGAAGCTTCAACGGGTGAAAAATTCCTGGATTTCTTCCCCTTTGCGGTCATCCATATAATTTGCTGTAGTAGGAACGAGACGCCACGTCAAGTGGCTGAGCTGCATTGGAGCTGGGAGACGCGGCTCTAATAAATATTCAAACACCAACCGTCGAATTGGTGTAGGGAAAAATACTCATGCATTTCCAGCACAGATCCAGCCCCTTCAGAAGAGGTTTCGCTCAGAGTATTCTAGACTCAGAAAAGGATGCTGGAAGGTCGGCTACTTGGCAAGCAGTTTGCTTTTGCGGCAAGCACATGACCAGCGTGAGTATACGGAACGAGACACGAGGCTGACCCGAAACATGCGGGCACAGCCAGGTGCACAAATACTGTAGGAAACTCGAGGGGCCAAACCTGACTCATACCCCAGACATGTCCTGGTTGCCAATTCATACATAAGAAGCTGGTCGAGCTCTATATACCACATCACCCGGAATCCTCGCAGTGCTTGAACCCTTCGTTCCTCATCGCTTACCAACTCATCCCGAACTCCTTGCCACAATACAATGATTCCCGCAAACAAACCCTAAATTTACCTCTCAGAGAAGCGCGAATAAGGGAGAGGGGAAGAAAGCTGGGCGACAAAGTAGCCCCAACGGAGAAAGGTATACGGAACCGCCAACGCCCATGAGATTGGTGCCAAATAACTTTGCTTAGGAAGACATTCACTGATTTTGTTGTTTTCCAATATGAGAACTCTGCAAACGCGAATTCAAGAACAGGAACCTAAACCGAGAGGCCGAGGGACCAACACAGTGTGTCAACGTCGCGTTCAACCAGGAGGATTGTTTTCCTGTGGAAACCCGGGGATAGGATTACTCGGGTGTCATAAGGTATTCGAAGTCTAGTCGTTTTCAAAACTGTCATAGGTATTCAGCAAGTTTAATCTCTGTCTTGGGTTATGCTAACTGCATCCTCGTTAGTAATCAAGGATCATTCCCTCATCTTAGGAGGCGCTTCTCATCCGTCACAATATACATCAACAAGCCGCGTCCAAGCACCAGATCCTTGGACACGGTGTCAGACTACGTGAAAAGTGCTAGGACGAAGATTTCACATGGCGCGGGGATTTTCGAATTTAAATGGCCAAGACACCTGGTGAAAGGAATGTGGGAGGTTATAAGAGTGGAACATCGGGCCGTGATCCTGAGGTCGCGGGGTGGCAGGAAGATCTGGGTGGGACAATGGAAGCTAGTGATGCACTCTTTTCTCAATACGAGAAATCCCTCGACCTAGAGTTCCTCAATCGGGCAATTGCGTTAGCCGAAAGTGCAATTAAACGCACTGACCCCCGCCATCCCAATCGAGCGGTCCTTTCGGCAAAGCTCTGCAAAATGCAGGGGAACAAATTCGAGCATACAGGTGATGAAGGAGATTTGGACATCACATGGGTGTGGGCAATGGAGGGAATGGACGAAACATCACGGAACAAAGTCAACTATGCAACCGCATGTAGCAGTATCCTCACTATACGGCGTCAGCTAGAGAGTGTATACGGCCGGTACAGATTCTTGGGTGGGGATTCGTACAGGAGATATGAGCGGCTAGGTAACATGGCCGACCTCAACAAGTCAATCATTCAGGTGGAAAAGGCGCTCGAAGAATATCATCCAGGGAACCCCTTTCGGGCAGATATGCTAGAAATCATGACATTCTTGGTGTTAGCAAGATTTAAGCGGATTCGTGACATAAATGATCTGGAATTGGCTGCAACCACGAATGAGGAAATAATGAGACTGAAGCGCAGCGGCCCGGAACATACAAATGCGCTTGCAAATTTGGGAAGTATATTCTTCCACAAGTTTGAGCAGACAGGAGACCTTGGGAACCTCCAAAAAGCCATTGAGCACACCGAGGAGGCATTAGCTGCTACCCCTCAAGATCACCCATACCGAGCGGCCAGGCACAATAACCTAGGATCAATTTTCTCTTCCAGGTTTGAGCGGATAGGAGACCTAGGAGACCTCAAAAAAGCCATTGAGCATGCTGAGGAGGCACTAGCTGCTACACCCCGAGATCACCCACACACAGCGACCATACATAACAACCTGGGATTCTTTTTGTCTACGAGGTTTAAACGGATAGGAGACCCCGGAGATCTCCAAAAAGCCATTGATCACGCCCAAGAAGCATTAACTGTTACCCCTCAAGAT